GCGCTTGAGGGGGCACAACCAGGTCCTATACTCTCCTACTCCTCATCCTTTCCCCAGGGGGCATCTGTCTGGCTTCTCCTGCTGCTGGTATTTCCCCAGGGAGGGAAAACTGTCAAGCCAGACAACTAGGGAGGATGAAGCTAACCAACCCTGAGCCTACTGCCCTGGAGGGCGGGGGGCGGGGAGGGGTATTGGCTGCAGTCTTGAGAAAGCAAGGGGCTCACAGAGGACAACTCTGTCCAGGGAAGGCCTATGGGAAGACCCTGGGGGAGGGTCTTTAGCAAACACTCCCAAGGCCGCAGAGGCTGGCCGTGAAGCCCCAAGCCTGGATCTAGAAGAAGGAAAGCTGGGGCCTGCTGGGCTTCCTTCCTTTCGCAGGCACAGCCAGGAGGAAGGGAACACAGGCCAGACAGGATGGAAACCAGCCTCGGGGCCAACACAGGACCTGAGGGAGGCCATCCTCTGCATCTCCCAGGCTGTAGGCCACCATCCACTGAGACCAATCAGGCCTGTTTGACTGTTTCTTCCCTCAGCCCTTCCTTGGGCACCTTTCTGCCACTTCCAGGTCCATCTAAAGGGCCTTGGGACCACATCCACCATTACTGAGCAACCCACTGGCTGAGGGCAAGCCCCAGTGCAAGAATCTTCAGACATCTGGCTAAGCAAATGGAGGCAGGGGGCAGAGGGTCTTGGGTGGCCCGCAGAGACCCCAGCAGTCAGGTTCCTAGAGACCTCAGTGAAGCTCCTCCCTCTGAGGACCATCACACCCAATACCACTCATTGAACACCTGCTGCTCACCAGGCACAGTGTCTCATTGGCACATAATCCTCAGAATATCTCTGGGAAGGAGAGACTATCATCCATCACCCCCAAGGCCTAGCAAACAAAGGTCACGGCTGGGATAGAAAACCATGTGTGTCTGATTTAGGGTCCCACTGAGTTATGATTTCAACATGGCTCCCTAAGTCCCTTCTCACTCTCTTCACTCCTGTATCCTGGCCTTGGGAATAGAGGGTAGTAGGGAGGCCTTCCTGGAGGAGGGGACACCTGCACTGAATCTTCTAAGATGGCAATAAGAAGGTAGCCAGGGAAGGGAGCAGAAAGAGTGTCCCAGGCAGATGTAATGACATGTGCAAAGGCCTGGAGGTGAGAAGCAGTAGGGAGGCCAGAGCGAGACAGAAGCTGTAGTTCAGTGTTATGGGCTCAAAGGAAGAGGCTGGAGGGGAGTGGCAACAGGAGCCAGTCACAGAGAGCCAAATGCAGAGATGGGTAAGCTGACTTCATCCTGAGAGTATGTGGAAGCCTCAGGGAGACTGAATGGTGGCGTTGCCTGCTCATATGGGAAGTCACAGTCCGGAGAGGAGTAATACTGTCTGTCTGATGAGTCCATCCAAAAAGAATATGAAGCAGGAACTAGGGTCTGGGGTGTGAGAATGAGGCCAAGGCCAGGCAGCCCTCTGAAGGCCAGATGCCAGCTTCAAGCCCCAGCTGGGAGCTGTGGCCGAGCTTTAATTATTTACAAGGCTGCCTCCCAGCAAGCCTTGGTGCTCCTGCAGCCTGGCCTTGCTCAGCTAATGAACTCTCAGCCATGGGAGACCTCACTGCAGCCACTCTTTATTAAATCTGGGATGGAGGGCGGATGGGGGCTGGGGGAACAAGGGGCAACCGGAAGAAGCCTGAACAGGTGGAAGAATTTGAGCACAAACCCAGTCTACCTGTAGACACCCAGCCTGGCCCCAAAGAGGAGCACAGAGCTAGGGGTGTGAGGGTGGGGATGGGGGAGGCCTGACGTCATCTCAAGGGGGGAAAAGGAGATCTGGGAGGACCTGCCTGAGGTCACCAGCTAGTGCTTGGGGCAGCCAGGGTGCCATAGTTGGCCACTTGTGTCCACACCCCAGCAGTTTCACTTAAAAATCAGATACCCCTGGGCCAGTTACTTAGCTGCTCTATTCCTTTGTAAAATGGGGCTAATGCAGGTACTTCAGAGACCTGCCCCGTTTTACAGAACCAAGGATAATGAGGTGACATGTGAGGAATCTCAGCACAACGCCTGGGCCAAAGCAAGGGCTCAGTCACTGTTCACTGTTGTTGTTACTCTGGGTGGAAAGGGCTGGCCAGAGACCAGTACCCCGGTCTCTGTCCCCAGACACTAAGGAGCAACAGGAAACTGAGGCCAAGGAGCCAAATGGCCTACGTGACCCAGGTCCACAGCCAGCGATCCCACCCCACTTTGCCTGGCTGGGCTGCTCCTGGGCTTCCTTGAACCTGGTCCTCAGGCTTCCAGCCTTTTCCTCCACTTTGAAGCTTTCTGAGCCGGGAGCTGAAGCCCCATGAGCATTTCACTTCCCCATCCTCCCGGCTCTACCAGTGTCTCTGGTAGGTGCCAAGTCCCACCCACTGTGGATGAAGATCAGGACTGAGTTCTTGCTCCAACCCTGAGGAGCCGTGTGACTTTGAGGGGGAGTCATTTCACCTCTCTGAACTCCTGTTTCCTCCTCCACAACATGGGGACCTCACCACCTAGTTTTAAAAGGTAAGCCCTGAGCGAATGAAATTAGTTACCATCTCTCAATGCCTGGCTGCGCTCTCCTCTCCTCCAGGAAGTCTTGCTTGGCCTCCTCAACATAAAAGCCTCCTCCCTCCAGTCTCCATCAGGTATTGGTAGTCACAGGCTGCATTCTGGCCCCTTTGGGACCTTGCACTCATTCTGCCACGCACAGACTTCACTGACAAAGGGCAACACCTATTTTGCAGGCCCAAAGAGGCCCAGAGGTGGGGGAGCTCAGGCTCTCTCAGGGGTAGAAGGGTTGGAGTGCCAAAGGAAGGGGGCCAAGATAAGGCAGAGAAACCGCTCAGGGAGGAGCCAACAGACTTAAGGGGAAGGTACTTCAAGGAAAGGCAGGTTGGGCAGGCAGCCCACAACGGGGGGAACTCCCCACATGAGGAAGCAGAGAATGACGAAAGACCACACTTGAACACGTAGCCCAACCCAGCCGTCCAAAGCCCCTGCCCCCATTCCTCAAGATTTCTCTTCGCGGCTCCTGGAGTCCCTTTCTAAGGAGGTATGGACTCATCCATTCCCTTCTCTCCGCCAACCCTGTCTGAAGACCTTCCACACGTATAACCCATGATGGAGGAACGGCTGCCCCACTTGGCATAGGAGGAAACGCGCTCAGAAAAACTAAGCCACGAAGGACTGATAACTTGATACTAACAGCAGAGCCCCCACCGCTCCCATTCCAAGCCCTCAACCTCATTTGCTTTTCTGTTCACTAACTCTTCACCTGTGACTTCACTCCATCCACCTCGGAAGAAAAGCAGGGGCCCAGATTGGCCATGAGAGCTCTCCTGGTCCCATCTGGGGCCACCCGTTCCTTGCAATACAATGGCCTTGGGAAATAAATGGTGAGGGTTATGACTGGGCTAAGAATTAAATTCAAGCTCTTACTCAGCAGCTCAATAGCTCAACTTATCTCTCAGTGCCTCAGTTTCTTTTGTCTGTAAAATAGGGCTGTTCCAAAGATTAAAGGAGTTTATACAAGATAAGCACTTACCACGGTGCAGACGCACAGCTCATGGTTAGCACGTTAGTCTCATTACTTCCAAGTACATTACTAGAACTGGTCCTCAAAAACGGGGCAAGGACGATTAACCCACGCCCACGCCCAAGTGGTCAGGTGAGCAGATGGAGACAGGAGGAGACGGGCCAAGGCACAGAACCAACTCTGAGTTGGGTCTGAGAGTGAATCCAGAGGCTGACTGGCAAACCCAGGGTAAAAACAAAAAACAAAAAAAAAAGAAAACCCACAAAAGGCTCAAGGACTCAACACACAGTGCCTGTCCAGGTGTCCCTCCACCCCTCCTGCCACTGTGTGGAGCTGCGGAGCTGTCCACCTGTTGCCCGCCTGCAGATCCCACAGGCCTCCCTGCCCTGCAGGAGTGGGCCTGTTATCCAAAGTGCCCCAGTGCTGGCACACAGCGGGCACTCAGTAACGAGGAATAATGACCACCTGTGTCTGTTTCTAAAGAGTCCTGTGTTTCTGTTCCTGGAAATCACACTCCTTCACGGTAACTGCCTGCCCACTCTCTTCTGTCCCACAAACATCTGGAACCACAAACACCCCAAGAAAGAACTTGCAAAGCTGTAGCACCCGAGTGTACAAACACCACACTCGGCCAAGGAGGCCCGCCACGTGCGCATGGCTACCACCGAGGGTTCACATGCAGCCTCGGGATCCTGGGGCCCTTTCCAGAAAGCAAACCCTTCTTCTTGGCCCCCTCCTTCCTAGTCTGCCCCATGACTCATGCCTGGGCTGGCAGTAGAGAGCGGTACGTTCACCAGGGTGGCACAAAAAACTCTTCACCATGACTAGGCAGAAAGGAAGCGGGAGCCAGCGCCCGGCCTCGCCAGCAGTTACAACCCAGTAGATGCACGCGGGGGTGTGGCCGGGGCGGGGCAGGGGCAGGGCCCCTGCACCCTGGGCGCCAGAAAACTGCACACCCGCCTGCTCCACGATTGGTCGCTCCGGCCACGGGGGCCTATGGGGTGGTCCTCGCCTAGCCAATCAGGGGCCCCGGGGAGCCCATTCATTCACAAAAACCCAGCAGGGAAAGGAGCCTGGCGAAGTCCGGAACTGCCCGGAACTTTGAAACACCGGTGCGTTCCGAGGGGCCGACGCAGGAGTCCAGGAGGAACCGATCGCAGGAAGCTAGACGCAGACGCGTACAGGGACAGTCCCGGCCCGGCCCACAATTCCGGCCCAGCAACCCGGGCGTGGCGCGCCCTCCTGGGCCGCACCGACGTGGGCTCCGCCCCCGACCCCATTAGGACACGCTGGGTCGCTAAGGGCCACCCAACCCTAAGGAAGGTGGCGCCTGGGCAGCTTCCTGGCAGCGAGATCCACGCAGGTGGCGCGGCGGCGGCTGCAGCCACGTGCGCGCCGACCAAGGCGCCCCCACGCTCCCGCCCCGGCCCCTTCCTCTGCCGCCGGCCACTCACGGCAGTCGTCCTCGTCGCTGTTGTCCGAGCAGTCGTCGTCCTCGTCGCACCTCCACACGGAGGGGATGCAGCGCTCATTCCGGCACCGGAATTGGTCCTCTTCGCACTCTTTGACCGGCCCTGCGCGGGGGAGATGGGGGCGTGAACAGGGTCCGCGGATGGCGCAGTCCTGGCTGGGGGCAGTGGTCTACTGGGGTGAAGGAAAGGGGGCGATGATGGAGCCAACGGCCTCGGGGGCCTCAGACACCCTCGATCCGGAAGGAGGGGAAATGGCAATGGGATGGCGGGATGCTCCGAGGCACGACGAGGCCAAACACACGGTCGGTGTCACACGATTTGAGTATACCCCCCATTTAGAACACTCACTCGCACTCCCGGCCCGTTGCCAGAGATCCACGCAGACACAGCCCACAGGGAGCCCCCGAACACGCCGCAACACGAGCACTGGGCGCTGCGGGCACATCCCCCTCGCGCGCAGCTCCTCTTTCTCCGCGGCGCGCAGGGGTCGCCGGAAACGCATTGTCAGGCGGGGAAGTCGCCGGGCTCAGCTCTCACCGCCGCCGCGGAGCGTGCGTGTCAAATAAACCCCACTGGCGAGAATCGCGCAGCCCACCCAGAACCATCCATGAGCACCCCCAACCTGCAAAGTTCCCGGCCCGCCTAGCCCCCTACTGGGCCCATCCCCCAGGAGCAGGTGCCAGAGGGCAGAGCCAACAACCCCGGGAGCCGCGGGGGAGGGGGTCGAGGGCATATTACAGGATAGCTGGGTCCCGAGAAGCCCAACCCACCCAGGCCCCGGGCTCGGGGCCCCAGCGCAACCCGCACCTCGGCCGCCGGGCCGCGCTTTGTTGGCGGCTCCGGCAGCGCGGAGCCCGGCCGGGGACCAGCCTCACGCACCTTCGCCGCCGCGCTGTGGATCTGCCGCCGTCGCGAGATGCTGGAGCTGCAGCAGCAGCAGCAACAGCAGCGGCGCCAGCGGCCGGAGCGCGCCCCGCTCGGGGCGGCCCATGGCGGGCCCCGGGCTCCGGCCGCCGCGCCCCGCGCACCCCGTGCGGCTGCCGCCGCCGCGCCTCAGCCCGCCGACTCCTTGCCGCGGCGCCGGGGCTGCCGCTGCCCCCGCCGCCGCCGCCACCGCTGCCGCCCGCCCCGGCTCCTCGGCTGCATTTCAAGCAGGTTCCGTGACGCTCGGCGGCGGGGCGGGCTCAGGCTGGGCGCGCGGCCCGGGCCCTGGGCGGCCGCCGCCGGCGCGCGCGCCCCCTCCCGCGGCCGCCTCCGCCCTACGCTCCTCCCGCCGCCGCTGCCTCTCCCTCCTCCCCCTTGTCCTTGGTCCACTCCTCCCTCAGCTGGCTCGCGGTGACCCTGATGAGGGCCCGCTTGCGAGCTGGGAGCCGCAGACGCTGGGATGAGCCGGGCGAGGCTCCTGCCCCAGAGGTAGCAGACAGGCCAGGGAAAGCAGCACTGGCTGCCTGGAGGAAGTGTCAGGCTGATAGGGGGCTGAGGGATGAGTAAGAGTGAACCTGGCTGGATGGGAGATGATATGCCCTGGTTCACAGGCCTGTGCAGTGTGCACATGGGACAGAGGTGGTGGTGGTGGGTAAGGGTCCCCATACCAAGACATGTGAGATCAGGGAGAAGCTGGGGTCGCTGGACTGGACCTATGCAGGCCTCATCCACTCCCTCCCAGGTATGCATGTGTGTAGCTGGCTAATGTGCCCATGTGCCTCTGTGCATGTTAGATGCTCATGTGACCGTGGCTGAGGATGTGAGGCAGGTGGCTCCAGCCTGGCACACAGACTTTATGCATTCATCCTTCTCATTCTCCATGGTGCCTGGCAAAGGGGCAATCGGGGCACCTGCAGGGACAGCACCAAAGTCTTTGCTGTGATGGAAATGGGAGGGGACTGTGGGACTCCACAAAAGAAATGTGTTATCCCTGCCTATAGGGTACACACACCCAGGGCCTCTGTCCACCCTCTGTATGAAGGACAAGTCCCCTTCTCTGGAAGGTCCTAGCCCCATCTCACTTATGCCAAGGTGCAGAGAACAGACCCAGGACTAGATTTTAGCTGCCTGCTCGTAAGTGAGGTCGATCCCGCACAACCTTCTTTGGATAATAAGGTTTGAGGGCATTGGCCACTAAAAGAGATAGGCCGGTAGGTGTCTAGCTGGAGTGGAAGTCCACCCTTCCATCTCCTGCCCCGTCACCTCCATGGCAGAGGGCAGAAGAGAGAGCCTCAGGAGCTGGAGGCCAGGTCCCAGGCCTGGAGGCCATTTTCTCATCAGCGGCCCTATTACTGAGCCGTCTTCCTTCCCACAAAGGGCAGCCCCTTGGCAACAGCTGTGGCCACCACATAGGAGAGGTGAGCCCAGCAAGTGCTCTTGCCATTACCCCTTTTATCCTTTGTTCATTCAGTCATTTAACACGTATATCTCAGCCCTGCTCTGTACCAACCCTTTCCTGGGCCTAGGGTTGCCAAGATGGATCAGACATGGTACCAGTCCTGGTGAAGTCCCTGATCGGTGGGGAGACAGACCATGAACACACAAACAATGACATGCATGCACACTTTCAACAAAAACTTAATGAAGCACCTACTCTGTGCCCAGCATTATCTGAGGCCCAGGGATACAGTGTAGAAATAGGGGAAGTCTCTCTGTTCTCCCGCAGCTTCCATCTTCCTTGGGAGAGAAAAACACAAATGCAAGAAAACAAAAAAAGATAATTTCAGATCATCATAACTACTATGAAAAAATAAATAAAACAGGGTAATGTGAGAGTGATGGGAGATAACAGGTAATCTGGGAAGGCATCTCTGAGGAGGTGGCATTTCCCTGAATGGCAAGAAGGAGGCTGCTGTAGATTGAATGTTTGTGCCCTTCCAAAATTCATGTGTTGAAACTTAATCCCCAATCCAAGGGTATTTGGAAGTGGATCCTTTGGGAGACAATTAGAACATGAAGAGAATTAGTGCCCTTGTAAAAGAAGCCTCAGAGAGATCTCTGGCCCCTTCTGCCATGTGAGGACACTGTGAGAAGACAGTCATCTGTGAACTAGGGAGTGGGCTCTCATCAAATACTAAATCTGCTGGTGTCTTGATCTTTCAGTGCCTTGATCTTGACATTCAGCCTCTGGAACTGTGAGACTTGAATTTCTGTTGTTTGTAAGCCACCCAGTCTATGGTATCTTGTTATGGCGGCCCAAAGGGACTAAATGCCCAGGCACATGAAGGTCAGGTAGAAGGGCATTCCTGGCAGAAGGAACAGCACAGCAGGGGACTTGAGGTGGGCTGGAACGTGTTGGTGGGTGACACGTGAGGTCAGAGGGAGTCAGGAAGGCTCTGATCACATGGGGGCTCTGTAGGTCACAGCAAGGAATTTGGGTTTTATTCTGAGCACGGTGGTGCCTGCTGTGACAACAGGATGCCTGGGACTATGGAGACCAGGATGGACCCCCTCCTGCAGCCTAGACTGACCTCTCCATATCAGCTGTTCCTCCTCTACTCTGTGGTCTTAAGAAAGTCAGTCCCCCTTATTAAGCCTCAGTTTCTCATCTGAGAAATGGGAGAGATGAGGAATATCCAAGATAGATTCTAGTTTTAAGATTTTTGTGTGGATTGCAGTTCAGAGACAGCAAGGTAGAGAGGTTCAGGGCTCTGGGTTAGACTGCCTGGGTTTAAATCTGTTCCTTCCCTTCCTAATTATGTGACTTTGGGCAACTCACTCAGTCTCTGTGGCTCAGTATCTTCATTTAAAATGTGAATGATGGGACGCCTGGGTGGCTCAGTCAGTTGAGCGTCCGACTTCAGCTCAGGTCATGATCTCACAGTTCATGGGTTCGAGCCCCGCGTTGGGCTCTGTGCTGACAGCTGAGCCTGGAGCCGGCTTCCGATTCTGTGTGTCCCTCTCTCTGCCCCTCTCCTGCTAATTGTCTGTCTCTTTCTGTCTCTCAAAAATAAATAAATGTTTAAAAAAAAATTTTTAATGTGAATGATGACAGAACTCATCTCACAGAATTGTGAGGATTATATTAGATGAGATTATGTATGCACAACATGAAGTACACAGTTGGTGCATAATAACTGTTATTTGTGTATTCAAACATAATTCCCTTTTCCAGAACCCCCAGTGACTTCCCAACACTCAAAGAAAAAAGATCGAGCCCAGGCATTCAATGACCTCCCCTCAAATGGAGACCTTTGCTCATATGGTCTCAGCCAGATCCAGTGGCCAAGATGGACAACTCCTTGTTTCTTAACATCCCCACATCCGAGGTTCTCTGGGCTCCCCTCAGTCTGCAGCTGACTTTGGCTACTTCCAGCTCTCCTGAGTTAGCCTGTGACCTCCCTGACAGGAGAGAGGAAGTAGCTCTCCAGCATTTCTGGGTCTCTGGCATGGGGCACATTTGACCAATATTTGTTTCTGCCTTGCCGAAGGTTTCTGCACCCCCAGAAGGTCTATGTCTTACTCAGCCTTATTTTCAGAGGATAAGTAGGAGAACTGCCACGTAACCAGCATTAGATAAATGATGTTTAAATACTTGAAAAGGTTAACAAGTAAACCATATCAAGTAGTAATAATAGCTGGTTCTTACAGTACACTTGCTGGGGGGCAGTCACCATCTAAATGCTTTAACTCATGTAGTCCTTATAACATCCCCATGAGACAGGTTGAATGTTTATCCCATTTTGCAGATGAGCACACTAAGGAATGAGGAGGTCACACAGCTAGTAGATGGCAGAGCCAGCCTTTGAGCCCAGGTGACAGAACTGGGAATTCTTCAGGGCCCATAAGTTGGTTAATTCCAGGTAGGGGCAGTTGGAGAAAGCTCAGCCCCTGACAGACACCAGACCAAATGGACACTGGGGTACAGTTTTTATAGCCTGGGTGACTTATCCCCACCTGTCCTCTCTCTCCATCCGGAGGTGACTCAAGCATATAGGCCTTTTCCACTTTTGGGTATCCAAAGAAAACCCTCAAACCCAACCCCAGGTGCAGTGAATTTGCCATGATAAAGAAACGGGTGACATCCCACGTGCTGTCAGCATGTCACTCTGCCCCCCAGGCCTCCATGCGCTGCCTGGGTCAGGACTGCCTGAGGCCCCGCAGCCCAACCTGGTGCACACTCCTCTCCCTTCCCCTGGTCCACAGGAGCTGGGGCTTCAGGCTTTTGCCTGTCTGTGTCCTCTGAATAGAACACTCTTGGCACTGGCTGACTTCTATTTCATCCTTTGGGCCTGTGCTCAAATCCCTCCTCCTCTGGGAAGCCTTCCAGCATCCTCCAGAAAGGTTACAGCCGGGGCCAGAAGGCCTTCTGCATTCACCACCCCAGACTTCCTTGACTGGCCTTGTGCCAGGTGAGGCACAGATGAGCAAGACTAAGTAAGTCCCTGCTTTTGAGGATCCCTGGTCTGGGGGCAGACGGTGACAGTGCAGGGTAATAACCCTCGGTGGGGCTGCTCAGGGGTGTCAGAATCCCACACCCAGGTACCCAGGGCTATGTCACCCACCCAGCCAGGGTAACAGACCAATGACCTGAGATTATCACAGCAGAGCTGTAAGGGCAGCAGAGCTCTCCCACTGTCCATGACCTTCACTTTATAGAAGCCTAGCCCAAGTCTTTCCTGCTCTACTGTGAGCCAATTGCTAATTTCTCTTTGCCACTTTTCTCTGTATTTCTTCCTCTTCCTCTCTCTGGCTAGACAGAATGTCTTCGTTCCTGTAAAAACGGTTTTCTCATTCATTACATGGACTTATATAGGTCCAAACTGCTAGGGTTTAAATTACTTGCTAACTGTGTGACCTGGGGCAAATTATTTGAACTCTCTGTGCATCAGTGTCCTTATCTATAAAATGGGGATGAGATGAAAATGTTACCTAGTGGTATTAATTATCTATGACTGCATAACAAAATACACCAAAACTTAGCAACTTAAAGCAACAATAAATATTTATTATCTCTTGCAGTGTCTGTGGGCCAGGAATTTGGGGGCAGCTTACTTGGGGTCACAATGTTAGCCATTCTGCAATCTTCTGACGGTTTAAGTGGGGCTGGAGGGTCTGGGCTGTCTCACTCACATGGCTGGCAAGTTCTTGATGGCTTTTGGCAGGATGACTCAGTTTTTCGCCGCAAGGATTTCCCCACAGGACTGCTTGAGTGCTCTTACAAACCACATGGCGGCCAGCTTCTA